TATTATTATTATTATTATTATTATTATTATTATTATTATTATTATTATTATTATTATTATTATTATTTCCGTATCTTCCCAGGTATTGATGTTAGGCTGATTGGTCTGTAGTTTCATGAGTCTGTATACTTGAGAAACACATCAATCTACCAGAAATACTGAAAAAGTTGTTATTATTTTTTAAAAAAAATCCCATTCATCAATCTTCCGTCAGCCAGAAAACAGGAAGCCCAACCTCCTTAATTAAGAGTGAAAATATATTAGGAAGAAGCCTTGTATATCCAACAGTGAGATCTAGCTAATATCTTTAGACAGCAAAGATTTAATTAAACACCTTCCAGCCATTTTAGCAGACAGTTTCCTGAAATAAACTCATTTGAGAGAAGAGGTTGATTCTCTCCTTGGCTCTCTTTGTACCAACACGGGGAAAATGATAGGAGTTGTTATGCATCAAGTTGTTACAATATATGAAATTAATTAGGGTTGAGCTGCAATTAAGGGCTCCATAATTTTCAGCAATTTGAAGCTACTCTTCCACCAAAACTTAATTAATCTTAGACAAATATTTTTCTCATGACAAACTTCTCCCCCCCCCCATTACTCGATTTATTCCTTTCTAATTACTCTTTAATTAATGTAGCCTTGGTCTAGGTTTATAGAATTTTTCTGGCATCCCACGAGAAAAACGGTAAGCTGATTGCAGTTCAGTTGCACAACAACTCAACTCACCAAATTTCAACACTTCATTTATTTATTCGTCTGTTCCTTTCCTCTCCCCAGGGCGATCGAACATGATACACGACAGACATTCCACACCACTTTAAACTGAAGCATGCCTTAAAAAAGCATTTCAAAACTTCAAATGAGAACATATTTTGCATTAAAATGATCACACTCCAGGCAAATATGTCATTAAAAAGTTGCAAATAAGCAAGAGCCAACTAGATCAACTCAACTCAACCCAACTCAAATCCTACCCAACTCAATCCAACCCTACCCAACTCAACACAACACAGTCAACTCAACCTGACACAGATCAATTCAAAAGCAATAGCACTTAGACTTATATACCACTTCACAGTGCTTTACAGCCCTCGCTAAGCAGTTTACAGAGCCAGTCTATTGC